TTTATATAATGGGTCTCAAGCAAAATAAATAATTATTTTATTTTATTTTTTTATTAAATTTAATAAAAAAAAATGTCTACATAATAATAATCACTATCTGTATTATAAAAAAATATATAGTAATAAAACATATATTATAATAAAATATAAAACTTCAAAGTTTTTTAAATAAAATAGAGTAATTTGAAAAATATATATATAATCTCTATTTCAAAAATTTCTAATGAAAATAGAGATCTTTGTTATATTAAATTTATTGATAATAGAGAATAAAAAAAGAAGTATATAGAAAAAAAGGAAAAGATAAAAAAGAAAAACTAAAAAGATATAGAAAAGAAGGAATAGAAAAAAGAAAAAGTAGAATAAAAAAGTAAACAAATCAAAAATTTCCTAAAAAAAAAATTTCAAATGTAGAAAGAAAAGTAAAAAAGAGTTTTATTTTTATTTTTATTTATTTATTTATTTTTTTAAGGAAAAAAAGTATATTATATACAAACTTTTTATTAACTTAATATTAAAATTACAATTGTTACATAAAAGGTCTGACTAACTTATTCTAGCTACTTTAACCTAATATTACTATTTTTTTTTAATCTGCATACTAATTTATATTATGTAGATAGATTTGCATACTAGGAATAATCTATTCAAAGAATATTTTTATCTGTTAACCATTATTAGAATTTTTATCACTTTTCACTATCAGCTCTGATTTTTCATGATATTTGTAATCTTACTTCTTTATATTTTCTAATAAATGTTTTAAGAGTTATTCCTATAGTTGATATATATTATCAAATCAAAAGATTTACAGATTAAATGAAATGCAACTTCTAAATCTTCTAGCAAATATTTTATAAACTCTTAATTAGCTTAAGCTATCAAATTTAGAAATATAAATATTAAGTAGGGTACAATTCTTGTAAAGTGGCTCCAATATCTTACACTGTTTCAAATTTTTACATCAAATAATCTTTTTCAAAGTTGCCTAATTGAATTATTAGGTTTTCTTTTGTAGTCACATAAATTATAGAAGGAAAAAATAGTTATTGTAGAAATTAGGGATGTATTGAATGCAATATTAATCATTATAATACCAACTGGATGATCAATATGCTACAATACCTTAATTAAAAATCACAATTTTAATGTTTATTGAATCAATATATGAAATGATTTCATATGAGAAACAACATTTAATAGGTTATGATATCAGATATTATATAAGTACTATTTAACTGTTTTTATATGAAGTTGAACCAGTATCTTATAATTTGACCTGTAAAACACTAACTGCTGTACTATAGACCCATAGGTCAAAGAGTTTTTTTTTATAAATATAATTTTATAAAAATTATTTTTTTAATTTGAATTATTTATAACTAGATTAATAATTTAATTATTATAAACTTATTATTTATAAATTATTTTAATTATTAATATTTACTGTTATTTAATTGTTTTTTTGAAATAAACAATTATTAAACTGATTTATTATTAAATTAAAATAAGAATTTTTAATATTTTTTTTTAAAAAATATCAAATATAATAAAAAAATAATTATTAAATTACTTAATTAAAAGTAAATATTATATTATTTTTATATAATATTATAATATATTATAGTATCAAATATTATTTTAAGTTGATTTAATTATCCTAACCTGAAATTAAACTTAATATTTTGTAATACAAATTTGAAAACATTAATTATTATTATATTATTAATCTATAAAATATATTTAAATTCAATATATTTTTTTAATATTAATTAATTATTAAGATTTTAAAAAGAAATTTTTAATTTTTTTAATTATATTAATAAAAAACAAAAAACAATTAATTGGTATTTATTTATTTTACTTAAAATTATTTTTTTTTATTTCAAATATATAACAATATAAAAAAATTTTATATTAAATAAAACTTTAACATTTATTTTATATTTAAAAATTTAAATTGCTATTCTATTTTTTCGTTTTTATAATTCTTATCATTTTTTTGAATTATAATATAATTTTTTATTTGTTTTAAAAAAATATTATTACTTTAATTTTAAAATCAATTTCTTAAGCCTTTTTTTAATATCAAATTTTATAAATCTTAATATAATATAATTTTTTTATTTGAAATTTTTATTTATTATTATAAATATATTATAAAAAAAAAAAATTAATAAAAAGAAATAATAATAATATTTTTTATAATAATTGAGTTTTTTAAATGCAAAACTGGTTTAACTAAAAGTGACGGAAAAACATGTACTATTTCCACGTATGACTATCAATGTTGTGCATTCGCCTCAAAATTTAATCGATCAACTGATTGACAACACTATATAAGAAGCGTTTCATTATTAATTGCAGTAACACAACACGCATTATGACAGCCACGAACCAACTTCTCCCATTAGGTAAGTTCTAAATATTTAACGCGGATAGCTTTTTTTTTTAAAAAGTCCATTCTTTAATAATTTGGTAACCAAATAGAATTGATTGATAAATGTATTGGATCTAAAATTTGGGTCATTATGAAGAGTGAGCGAGAGTTCACGGGCACTTTGCTGGGTTTCGACGATTATGTCAGTATCCTTTTTGTTTGTCTGTTTGTCATAACCCGTGCGCGTCATTCGATCACAAACAATATATAATTTTTAACTATGGGCAACTTTGAATCAAGACATGGTACTTGAGGATGTGACAGAATAGTGAGTTCTCTTCATTAGTGCATCAGCTTATGATTCATGACGTGAGCGGATGTTCTGACATGTCCGATAATTTCAGCGAAAATACGCCGGAAGGTCGTAAGAAAACACATCTGGAACAAATCTTGTTGAACGGAAACAATATCACAATGGTAAGGAAAGGTTTTCTCATGTACACATTTGTTATTACGTTTCTGACGATTCTATTGTTAACATAGCTTATTCCTGGTGGAGAGGGTCCTGATTAATCTTTCTTGACATTTGTGGGTCACATCGAGAAACAGATAACTTGATGATATTCATTTTTTGTAACGCGTAGAAATCATTGTAGTCATGGAGTTGAGAATGAAAGAGCTTGTCCAATAAACATTTATGATATTCGGTTAACCCTGACTGCACAGGATAAATTTCTGAAAGTTTTCTTAATTGTAGGTGTTCAGTTGAGGGAGGAACAACTCGAGATTATATGGTGTATGAACTTTAATCTGATTTAGATTCTTAGCTTTTGATTTATTAATCCTATTTATGCTAAATTTCTATTCATTTATAATTGTTGCTTATTGGTCGATTATGATTGTGCTGATCTGATATTGTGTATTACATATATAAACCATTTCTTATTATTATCTAACTCTCATTCTCCTGCGATGACGATTTCTTCTCTTCCTCCGGAAAATTTAAGAGATATTTTTGAGTATGTTATTCAGAAGACCGATAAAGGGACAAACCTTGCATTTTTGCTATACAACTGTTTACTGGTAAATCGTACTTGGTGTCGAAATGTTGTTTCGGTTTTGTGGGGTAGGCCGTTTCATCTTCTTAACCGTGCTTCCCCAGAATTAATTTCCGTTTACGTTTCCGGCTTCTCTGAAGATGCAAAGGGGGAAATCAAACGATATGGGATAGACTTTTCAGACTTATTATCAGGACCTTTAACATTCGACTACACGTCGATGTTGAGGGAGTTGGATCACGAACTCGTTTATGCATCTGTGTCGCAATGGGTTAGCAGAAATGAACTGGGTCACGTCGAAAGGGAGAGAAATGTTGATGGGGAAGATAACGAAAGTGACGAAGAATACTTTAGTATACAAAGTAATATTGAATTCGAGAAGAACCGTCGTGTCCTCTCTATTACACAAGGAATATGCAAGCAATTCTTTTCGAGTTGTGGACCTTTGAAAAGTTTAAACCTGTCCAGAAGGATGTTTCCCACTATTCCTAATGATTATCTTTTGATAGTTGACTTACCAGGAGCGCGAGAAGCATTTTCACAGCTCGATGAATTCACAATAAATACTCGTGACATGAATAGAGATATCCTTCCGAAAATATTAGAATGTTGCGATTCCATAAGGACTCTAGACATATATTCTCTACCTTTTAGTGAAATCGCTACAGAGTCACGACGATCGAGTTCACTGAGCAATTTCATCTCGAGGCAACGAGGATTGAGAAGGATTACATTATCTATCGAAATATATAACGATAATTCAATAGATTATTCTTCGAGATATAAGCTGCTACCTGTTATATCGTCATTGAAGAACCATCTGAATTCTTTGAATTGGGTCAAATTTCAATTCATTAAAAATTTCATGAACGTCGAAGACATCATAGAATCGGTGTTGAATGTTGAAACTCTCTTGTTTTGTGGTTGCACCCTCCCCAGTGGTCCTAGAAAGCCGTCATCACCAAAGTTCAGCCGTTTACGTAGATTAAGTCTTTGGAACACGACAGTTTCGCTTGACGCGATTTCGACCATTATAGCGAGTTGTCAAGGGACCTTGAAAGAGATTCAGTTGCGTGGAAGGTTCGATATAACGAATTCAGAGGAAGAGATTCGATCGAGATTGATGTCGATGCTCGGTTATTGTTCAAAGCTCGAACGCCTTCAACTATACACTGCTTGGATGTGCCTCGGCTCTTCCTATGAAATTTTACAAGAACTAGGTGAAACGCTTCCAACTTCGTTTCTCCATCTGGAAATTGATCTTATATGTGATCCGGCTGGTTTACAGGCATTTTTCGAAAAATGTACACTAAAAAGTTTGACTCTGGGCATTGGAACGGTCGATACCAAAGGAATGGGCATGAATGATGAAAATCTTGAGGTAATCAGGGAATACGTCACAAAAAAGGGTTCTTTGGAGAAATTGGTACTGGTCGGATCTGATATTACTGCCACCGACCAGGGGTTGGAGGCTACAAGAAAATTGATCAAAGTTGATCGAGTGATATGTTGTGTTTTTGAAATGTGGGAGTGATCTGAATTCCACGAAGAAGAATAAAATAATCGATGGGAACATTGGATCTCTTTCTCTTGTCGCGTGCAAAATTTTATTCGAGTAACGGACCTCGCAGTCAGGGACCGAGAAATTTGTATATTTGTATTGATTATCGTTTGTAGTAAACCTTATTTGTTCTACATTGTTAAATATTATTTAATGTTGGCGAAATTTTTTTGTATTTATTAGAATAAACATAATTGTTCGAGATCATTCGATGCAATATTTTCGCATAAACATAATTGATCGGGTCTTTCATACAGTATTATCATTGCAAGTTTTTTTGTGCCTTGAAAACACGTCGGTCTCCCTGAAATCAAACTTGTTGATCTTAATTGACATTGATTGACGCATTTACGTATTTTTCTCTGGTCAAGTTTTCCATTACATTGCGTGATGACGGTTACACTTTATACAAGACACTCACAGTCAGGTTATTGAAAGAAATTTTTTAAAGTCCGTTATATATACAAACTATTTGATAATACAAGTGTGATACAGTTGACGATAGCACTATTACTTAAAGAATGAAGAATATCGATAATGCATATAAAAGAAAAAACAAAAACAAAAACAATGATAATAAGAGAATGAAAGGGATAGCAACTAGTATCTACAGGTTTACAACAAAATATATATACAATTAATAAATCATGAATTGAATAACAGAAATATACAAATAAATTGGTACAGATACAATTGTCCGAGAAAAAGAATAATAACTAAGGAAAGCAATTTTGTTTGTAGATATGTATAAGGATCATAAGAATCATGACCAAATACACGAGAATTTTCCGTCCCTTCTTGGGCAATGAACTATTTACAGTAAATGTTCGTCAACCACTTGTTAATTCACCCACTCCCGAACCCGAATCATTACCAGTAGAAACTATGATGTGGTTTACCAATAGCGAACGACACGATATCGGCATCCGATAAATTGAAACTCGCGATTTCCCATTATAAAATTTCTGGGCCATGCATTCGATATCTGATCCTTTTGCAAGGGACGAGAACCATTATCTTGCGATAATTGTTGTAACGCGACGGTGGCCTTAATCGCTTCATACAAATCTTGTTCGGTTAAAGGTGATGGAGGTTGGTGAAGTGATGACGGATGTACGGTGGGAGGAGGGTATGGGGTGTAAGTGCCAGAAGTATGTGCATTGTTGCTAACAGGGGAGTTAGGGATGGAGGACGAGTAGGGTGAGAGATGATGATGAAATTCATATGAACTTTCCAGCGGTGCACTATCGACAGGTAAAAATTGGTGGTGCTGATCACATCGTTGTGAGGAACTGGAATAAGCGGAGTCAGATCCGCGACGGTTAATCCGTAAATTGTTGATACATTCCTCGTCAGTGGAGGAGTCTTCGTCGTCGCCGAGGCTACCGTTCTCCGGCGAGTTTTGTCTCCTTCGTTTGGATATCTTCATATCATCGACGATCGTTTCAATGAGATGAGCTTCCTCGATGGGACGTTTCTGCTTACGAAGTATGACCAAGTGACGATGATTATTATCTGGACCTTGACCGTCGGTATTTTGATGATAATAATCGAAAGAACGACCATCATCCCCTTGGGTTTCCTGCATTATGATGTCGTGGGAGTTTTCATTGACTTCTTCGATCGGCGACGCTAGCATCTTAATGATTGCTTTTGTTTTGCCTTTATTTGTGGGAGGCGCATTGTCCACGCGTGTGTCTTTGGGCTTACGTCTTTGCCTTTTTTTGGTTGGCATTGAATCAGAGAGTGTGAGTCGACCGAATCCTGGCTGCGATGGATCCAAAGCTTGCGAGGGAAAGGATGGTCCGAATAAAGGTATGAGATCCTCGCGAACATGATAACACGTCCGACGGCAAAGCTCATGCGCTTTGTCGTGAGGCATCCTAAAGAACGGTGAGTTCGTTAAATGATTTTCTGAAATATAATATTTGAACGAGGGAGTTCACAAACCAGGTTCCTTGAATTTTGAGAAATCCTCCTCTGACCTTCTTGATTGTCGAAGCCAGATCAGGATGTGTGTCCACCAATCTAGCAATATCGGCTTTATTATTCCCGAGGGCTTTCCAAATTCCTGTGAAGTGAACATAACCGTTTTCTCGATCCCACATGATCGGTTGGTCGTTAATGGTAAATTCGTATACTGGAAAAGATACCGAGAAAATTGATGAATAATATTGTGTCATGAAAAGGAAAAGTTGAAAAATAGGTTCTTCAAGAATTCTGCGGAAGTTCCGAGAATAAGCGCAGCAAGACCGCAAGGAACTTACCAGGAATGTAACCCCGAGAATCCAGAGAAGTAGAATACTTTGTCCTTTTGATTTTCGTATTTGTTACGGGGTACGGACGGTAATCCGCCGGCTCATTTATGTTCCCTTCATAGTCGTCGGAGTCTTCTTGTTTAGAGGCTCTCTTTTTTGACGTGGCAGGTTTGTGTCGTTGACCGACAACCGTAGGTATTTTTTCGGTTGCGGTTGTTTCTTGGCGGGTAACGCCGAGCTCGACGAAAGTAGGTAATGTTGGGGCAAGTTGAGACATGGGAAAAGCTTCACCGAAGAAAGGTAACTGAAATGGTGGTGGTTAACACTAAATCAATAATGTTTTTTGCCAAAGGGTATTCCCACGGCAATGCACTTTCAATGTTCAACAGGTTCTATCACTGTGGACTGTACAATGCGCGTGAAGGTGCGTAGCAATAAAGGCGATCAAGAGAAGCACCGAGGTTATTTTCGGTGGAAATTATTCGAAGGAAAGAAGGAACCGTCAGACGGGCCACCCGGGTATCGAAAAGGAGGTATAAAAATAAATGTGATACCGTTATCAAAAAGGAGAATTAATAATAAAAAAAAAAAAAACGTTCTTTGTAAGTCGTGAGTTTAAAAGGAGGTATAGTGTGTGAGAGACGTTTGAGCAATAAATCGAGTATGATCGTAAAACAAGAAAAGAAACGACAATGAACGAAGCACAGGGCAAGAAGAGGGAAAAGGGTAATATGAAATTTTGGCAGAAGAGAGGCGGACGGACTTAAAAAGAGGACCGAGGACAATTTCCAAAGGAGGACTTTTGGTAACCCTGGGAAAATTTTAGCCTCACACGACTTAATAAAATTACGCAGCAGATTCAATTAGAATCCTTCAGTCTGTACAACTTGCCGCCAGTTTCGAGAAAAAGTATAAAATTGTGGGGCATTAGAAACGATCAATTTAGGTAGGTAGATATTTGTGCAACAGGCCGTTCACCAATCGATTTACCTGGATTGTATACGGAATGCGGATAACTTCGTGTTTATCTGTGTTCATCGTTCCAAATGATCCACTATCAGCTTTCGCTTCTCCTTTCAACAAATGTCTTATTACTTTGCAATAGTCGGAACCAAAGATAATCCAATCTATGAACTAGAGTTTGGCACTTCCGGAACGAGAGCCGGTAGTATTGAAGCCAACTCGAAGGTTGGTAGAATAACGGGGGTATTCCACGTGTATCCAAAAATGTTGAAGAAATCATTTTCTCTTTTCCCATACAGAAAGACGAACATCGACATCTGAATCAGTTCATTGTGCATTCAGCGTTGGATCTCGTCGAAGAATTTCAATGGAACACCAATGCAATGTATGTGTGTGGATGCCATTTTTTTTCAGGGGTGAGTTGCCCAGCGAATCCCGGTCCGATTCTTTACTAAACACGCACGCACTCACGCACACAGGTACTTAAAATCAGTCGATAAATTTAATGAGTGGCATATATCATCGTTTATTTCAGCCGGAAGTATCCTTTGAGTAGTATTATTATTATTAATGTGACAAATGATTTCGTCAAACAATCGTTTTTATCGTTAACCATTATGTCAAGATATTAAATTCATGTTGTTACATGAAGCAAAAAATGAAGAGGGCATTCGGAATTTTTTCAACGAATGCCACGAGCTTTACATCAAGGTAGGCTCCTGTGTGTCACATGATTCTTCAAATTGACAAAAAACTCGCGCGTGTGCATCTCACCAACCAACCGTTTCCTTTTTTTTTTTTTTTTGATTAACGCGAAAAAAAAAAATAATAAAGATACTAATGAACCCATTTTATGAGGTTAACACAGCCATCACCTCGATTGCATTTGACGCTAAAGTTCGTTTTATCACAAAAAAATATTTATGACGTTTGCAAATAGCAGTTAGGATCTTTTTTTTCTCTTTTGGTTTAAATCGGAATTTTGTTCACCTTCGGGATGCCTAATTTCTATATATAAAATATATAAAAGAATTTTTTTTACTGTACAATAACGAATTCGGAATTTTTTTTTGCTTACGTAACAATCACACGTTATAGTGACGTCATTTATGTATTTATGACAAATGATGATCGATTCACTATCTTCGATCATTGAGGGTCATCATCATTTGATCATTTTTTTAAGGAAATTCGAGTTTTAATATAAGCTGGTGATCCGTGCTTATTATAATCACGGTGTTTTGTAATAAACCATGCTCGAGTCTCTGGTGGCCAATGTGTTGAATCGCTTTCTTGGAGCATATGTCTCTAATCTTGAAGATAGGCAACTCAACATTGCAATATGGACAGGCATGTTGATGCGCGTCTGTTTTTTCCGGAATTTTACATTGTTACGTCCATAAGATTGAGTGTTGACGTCGTGTTTTTTTTAAAGGTGACGTCGTATTGAAAAACTTGCAACTCAAGAGAGAGGCTCTTGATAAGTTCAATTTGCCTATTGATGTATTGGAAGGTGTGAATGTTTTGTGAATAATGTAGAAACCAGTGAACTGAAAATAAAATCAAATAAAATTCTTTAATCGAATGAACTCTACCATTCCTCGCGTCCCTTTACAAAATGGTCGTGTCACTTGTTATTATAGGATATCTTGGGGAGCTTGCTCTCAATATCCCTTGGACAGATTTAAAAAATAAACCAGTAAAAGTTTTCGTAAACAACGTTTACCTTCTAGCGGTTCCCAAAGCCGAATCGGAGGTTAATTATGTTACATATAATTTTTTTTTTTGATGTTAACCGACTTCCATCCAACTATTATTAATGTTTTTGGCATATTAATTAGTACAATGCCGAAGAGGAAGAAGACCGGGCCCAGCAACTCAAACAAGAGAAATTAGCAAATGCCGAATTACTTCAGTCGAGTTCGTCTGAAGGTTTGATTTCGTCTATCATCTTTTCAATTGATTGGGTCGACTATTTGATCGACTCGGCTGACATCGAATTCTGATATTTCGTTTGTAAAAAGAGGACGATCAGAAGAACCAATCTTTCGTAAATCAACTTGTTACCAAAATCGTTGATAACCTGCAAATTTCAATTAATAACATTCACATTCGTTATGAAGACAAACTGAGTGATCCGGGTGTATGTTTTCTCACTGTTTACACATTCTCGCCGACCAGATGAGAGTTAATTAACCTGTTACAATTTGTTGGTAGCATCCATTTTCGGTCGGGTTGACTTTGTCCGAGTTCTCAGCAGTGTCGACGGACGGGAATTGGGTACCCACTTTTATCGAGGGTGAAACAAGTTCAATTAACAAGGTAAAAATTATATATTTGAAATTTCAAGCTTAGGTTTAATCTCACGATCTTTATCTCTTTTCTCGAATGATATTAGTTGATCACATTAGGATCATTGGCCGTCTATTGGAACACAGATTCAAGGTCTCTGGCCGGATCACCTACAAATCAAGCTGTTGAGACTTTCACTGGCCTGGTAAAGAATCTCGAGGTTCTCAACCATTTCCGTCTGTGTTCTTATTTATTATTGTTGTAATCATCAGATCGCATCCGAAAAGAATATTCCTTCAGAGCATCAGTATATTCTCAAACCGGTTTCAGGAACTGGACGCGTAAATATCCATCACCGTTTACGACTGCGATCGTGAATTACTTGTCAACATCATTTCTTCTTTCCTTGTAGGTCGTATTAAATAAAACTTATAACGTTGATACTCCAAAAACTAGCGCAACACTCTTATTCGATGAACTTGGATTCATCTTAGATAACGAACAATACAGGGATGCTTTATTGATGGTGGATTTGTTCCACTTTTACCTACGTCAACAATTGGTAATACAATAGATGTATATCTTTGCTTGCATTGATCTTCGAGAATTTCACACAATCTCATTCATTTTATCATATTTCGATATTTAGTACCGAAAGTTTAGACCACCGAAGGAGTTAACGCCTAAAAAAGACCCGAGGGCCTGGTTTCAATTTGCTGCAAATTGCATCATCTCGGAAATTCGTGAAAGGAATCGTAAATTAACCTGGGAATATTTCGCTGAACGTCGTGATGATCGAAAAGCATACGTCAAGTTGTACAAAGAGAAACTGTATGACCGAATGACGCCAGAGGTGTGGATTTGCATCATATATCACTTTTTTTATCCGAATATTACTTCCGAATAGTTAACTTTCTGCCAAATATCTTAGGATGCGTCGAGTTTGACGTCATTGGAGAAGAAACTCAGTTACGAGGACATAAGATTTTACAGATCAATCGCAAAATCGCAACTGAAAAAAGAAAAGGAATTCTTAGGTTTGTCTCTCGCCAACATTTTATTTGGTTTTATAAAATATTAATTTTTATTGGTCGATCATTATTGTTCGAAAAGCCAAGAAAAGGAAAGAAAGGGAGGAGTTACAGAATACGACCCGGCAAGCAACCGGTGGAGGTTGGTTTAGCAGTTGGTGGTATGGAGGATCAACACAAAGCGTATGAATCATTCTTGTATTCCATTTCTTGCATCAGAGAATTCGCTCATGTTCATTCAATTTCGTGTTAACAATCGCATCATTTTTCTTTTGTTTTGATTACAGTCAACCGAAGATACCATCCTGACCGAAGAGCAGCGACAGGAGTTGTACAAAGCAATTGATTATGATGAATCGGCTGCGGTGACTGAATCCATCGACCTACCGAAAGAAGTAGATATTATTCATTTTGTAATCTGTCGTTCTTTCATCATTAACTGACATCAAATCATCCTATTAAATTTGCATGGTAAAAGTTGACAAAAATATCTCTCAAGACAAAACTTAAGACCGGTTCATTTGCACTGAAAAAGGATCCTCACGGAAAGAACGCAGAAATATTATCTTTGATTTTTGATACCGTGACCACAAACTTTGTTCAGCGTCCCGATTCTTTTCAAGCCGAAACTGCGCTGGGAAGTTTGAGCGTGTATGATGGGTCTGTCGAGGGCACTCTATATCCACAAATAGTCAAAGTTAAAGAAGACCTTGGACCTAAGGCGGATAAGACTGACTTGACAAAAGATAATCGCGCGAGTGATATAGGTTACGACGAAACAACGGATATTCCATTCTTTCAACTAGTTTTCGAAAAAAATCCTTTGGACGGTCGAGCAGACAATGGTCTCTCGATGAAAATGCGACCTTTGGAAATTATCTATAATCTAAGTGCCGTTCAGGCTGTCACCGACTTTTTCAGACCTCCGGAACAACAGTTGGAGTCAATTACCGCATTGATTGTGGGTATTTGTGGAATGGCTTATTAATCAATGGTTTATTTTTCTTAACCGGAATTTAATTTTAGGAAGCGGCCGGGGATACCATAGAGGGAATCAAGGCGCAGACAAGAGCCGGTTTGGAGTTTGCATTGGAGGAGCATAAAACAATTGACCTTAAAATAGACATGAGCGCTCCGATTATAATTATTCCGGAGAGCTGCACCAAAAAGGATGCACAGGTCGTAGTGCTTGACTCCGGTCACATCAGCGTAGAAAGCAAACTAGTTAAGAAAGCTGTCATATCAGAAATACAGTCCAAAACCAGCAGCAGTTACGACGAAGGAGACTTTAAATTATTGAAATCTTTAATGTACGATAAATTTTCTGTACAGCTCTCATCAACTCAGGTACGATAAAATCTCATCAAGTTTCTTCCGATCCGTCAATCATTTCAATGTGATGAACAAAATATTTAATTTTCTATTAGCTTCTCGTGGGTCAATCTGTCGAACGGTGCCTGGCTCAAATACGCGATGCCGATTCCTCATATGACCTTCACTTCATTGATCGAATAAATATGCAGTTTATGGTGGAAATGTCAATATTACCAAGGGCCTCTAACCTCACCAGATTTAGGGTTTCTGGGCATTTGCCCCTTTTAAAGGCAAATTTTTCGGATCGCAAATACAAGATTATTATGAATATTATTGACAAAGTATCTCCATCGTCAAGTACGAAGGAAGAAACCCCGGTTACAGTTATTCCAGAAGAAAAGTCTTCACTTTCCAAAGTTGCAAAAGAGTTCCTTAGGGAAAAAAGAATGCAATGGGAACGTGCAAAGCATAGGGACTCCGTGGTGATGGCCGAGAAATTAGGACTAGGTAAAGCATTGCAGGAATTAGTGATAATTGATGAGGATGATGAAGAGGCGGATGAATTCTTTGATGCTCAAGATACCGACGTATGTACTTGTTTTCTTTAGCTTCTATATTTGGAATTACGATTGATTCGATAAAAAAAAACCAACTTTTTTACACTTTTGTATTGAATGTCACCAGTCTTCTAATAATTCGAAGGCTAATCAACGAACCTTTGAATTTGAATTTCGGGTAGACAAATTTATTGCTAATGTTAAAAAAGCAGATCCAGATCCTAATAAACCTGAAGTTATGCTGGTCGATATGGTCTTTCAACATTTTGGTTTGAATTATGTTCAGGGTGCGTTCGATATGTCTGCGGAAGTTGTTCTAAAATCTTTAAGCATAGAAGATAAGATGTCCGAAAATGGAACAGAATTTAAGCATATAGCTGCATCCGAAGGATATGGCAACACTCCGTCAGATGATTCCAAGGATCTTGTGCACGTGAAGTATTCTAAAGTTAACTCACGATCTCCTGAATATATGACGAAATATGAAGGAATCGATCAGAGTGTCGATATTGAAATGTCTACGATCAATGTGATTGTAACGCGAAAAACCATCTTAACTTTATACAATTATGTCCTTGACACGTTTACTTCGTCTTCCGTGCAAGAACCCTTGGTAGATTCAGGCGCTCCACAGTCTGATCTGGCGGTAGGATCACCTTACCCCAATTCACCGGAATCATACAAGTCTCTCCAGCAACAACGAACACCTACCATGCGTGTGAAAGTCAAACTGAATAGTATCAGATTTATTCTAAACAATGATGGCACTAGACTCGCCACGGGATTACTTTCTCATGCACATGCTGCAGTTTTACTGAGACAAAATACCATTCGTGTTGGCGCTCAGCTAGGAAACTTTTCCTTATCTGACGACGGAGCTGGCGCGGAATCTTCGAGGCGTTTGCTTACGATAGAAGGAGATGATCTGGCTGTTTTTAAATATGAAACTTTTGATGAGAACGCACCAGGTTTCCCTGGATATGATTCATCAGTCTCGTTGCGTACAGGCTCTGCCAAATTAACGTTTTTGGAGGAGCCCATTCGTCTATTGCTCGACTTTGGAAGTAAATTTGCTCAAATGAAAGGTCTTTATGATTCTGCTCGCAGGGCTGCGGTGTCTCAGGCAGTTCATTTTCAGGAGAAAGTTTCAAAATTTCATTACGAAATTGTAATTCGTACTCCAATTGTTATCTTTCCTCAAGATGAAAATTCAAGGGATGTAGTTATTGCAAATCTTGGTGAATTTTCGGCCTCCAACGAGTTCATTCCGAATAACGTTGGCGATAGCTATCTTACGGTGATCAAAGCTCAGCTTCAAAAAATTCGCCTAACTTCAAATTTCTACTTTCCTGATAATAATTCACCACAAATTCTTCAAATTATTGACGACGTGGACATCGACGTGAATGTTTCTTATTCGGATCACGTCGAAGGTTCAACTAGACCTGACATGGAGGTGAGCGTGCAATGTTTGTTCTTCGTTTCCAGCTTTTTCGCGAGTTAATATGCATTTTACCTTGCATTCATCTTAGATCGTTGCTAAAATGTCGGATGTTAAAATGAATTTAACCGAGAAACAATATAAATTCTTGTTCGAATTGTCAAATACGGTTCCTCGGGCATTTAGAAGTTCTACTGATCAAACGCCTTCAACGAAAAATTCTACATCCGATGCTACTTCGAGTCCTAAAGATCTGACAACCACTTTTTCCAGCTCGGATGTGTCATCCAAAGGTTGGACAACAGTTGATGTTGTATTTAAGGTAGACCAGATATACCTGGAAATCTTTTCGGGTGACGGCTCTCAGGCGAATTCGTTAAATGAAACTAGTCTATCCAAGTTTTCTCTTAATCAAACCGACGTCAAATACAAAATGAAGAATGATGGTTCAATGGAAGCAGAACTTCGACTTCGTTCTGTTACCTTAAATGACACACGACCCAACATTAAAAATGTCTACAGAGAAATCTTGCCGGCCGTAAAGAAAGATAGTTCACAATTCACAATCACCGTTTCCATGTCCGGTGGATCCGAAAGAGATGTTGTGGCTTTTGTGACAGTCGATAATCCGCAAGTCATATTAACGATAGATCACTTATTCGCCACTCGCAATTATTTCATGAGCGCCTTTGAAAAACCATCAACTCCGAACAATCAAAGTACACCTCTTTCGGTAGAGGTCGCTTCTCCAAAATCTCCAGTATCACCGGTTCAATCTCCAATGCTTCCACCGCGTCCGATAGCCGCACAACCTCCACCTCAGTCAACCACTACCCTCAATTATCGGGTGAATGTTACTAACGCGGAAATAATTTTACTTGCTAATCCACATCTGGCGGATACCGAAGCGATTGTTCTTTCTGCTGAACGATTGGTTCTTACGCAGCAAAGAATAATGGCTTTAAATGTTGACAAAATAGGGATGTTCCTGTGTTGTATGAATAAACGAGAATCTTCGCAATTGCATTTTATCGATAATTTTGATTTTTCAATGACCATGGACACGCAGAGCACAAAACCTGGCCAAAATCTCACAAACATTGGCATTGACGTTGGACCTCTCATTTTAAGATTATCATATAGAGATGTCTTATTGATAACCTCTATTGTAAACAAAGTGACCGAACTCTCGTCCCAATCTCAATCTTCTGCGCCATCATCACAAGTTGAGCAGCCCGAGATAGAATCTGAATCTTCGAGTGGGAACCAGAGAGCATTCAATTATAATACGCTTACCAAGAAAGGCATCAGTTCATTCAAAGGACGCTCTGGCTTCTCCCAGGTTCTCGTGACACGTGAATCGGTAATTAATTTCTTTGGATTGCCTATGCTTTTTGCTTTATCTATTAACTTGTTATTACTCTACCCTTTTAGCTTAAAGCAACCTTCCAAGGCGCAAAGCTCGTCTTAATTGGTGATGAACATGATATTCCAATGATCGATGGAAATTGCAATAGTTTTACTGTGACTGTGGCCGATTGGTCATCGCAGGTTTGTCATGATCCGAAAGTTAACGACGCGACGGTTTTCGTTTATCTGATAATCAACCACATTAATGAATTGTAGATGAGCGTCGATGCCACCATTTCTACTTATATGAATTACTTTAATCTAACGAATTCACATTGGGAACCATTGATTGAACCATGGCAATATAGTCTTCACGTATTTTTCATTTACTATTTTTCAAATAACTCGTATTGTGTAATGGTGTTGGTTTACTGGTTCTTTTAATTCAGGCTTCGAAGAATCTGAATCCTGAAAGCATGGTGATTGATATCTCTTCGCAGACGCCACTGGAAGTAAACATTACACATATATTCTTGGAAACTATGCTTACTACGCTTTCCATAATTGGCCACGAAAGCGAGGTTATTTATTATTGTTATTACTTTATGATCTTTTCTTTGTACTTTAGCTTTGACTCTTTTCCCTAACCAGAACTTCTGAAACTCTGTGATTAGCACGTGCTTAATACTGATCGGGGCTTGAAAACGCCTTATAAGCTTATAAATCAAACAGGGTATGCTCTACATGTTTGGGCAAATGATGCTGTTGACATCATGTATGAGACGATGCCGGATGGTGGAGAATTGGCTTGGAGATTCGACGACTGGCGAAAGACGCGTGAGGTTAGCTCTTTTACTTCATGTAGCGTAAAACAAATCTTAGCGCATTTGACATATTCATTTTTCATTTTGTAGTCAATTACGGTGACCAAGAATATGCTCGGCATTCAACTTGAAGGTCCTTTATGGGAATGCATTAAAGATATACCGGTTGACAGAGAAGGAGAAACACTCTATTCATTACGCCCAAAGTTGGAGGATAATGTTTCACACCGTTTAGTTGTCGATGTGAAATTAAAGGACAACATTAAAGTCGTGACCTTCCGATCAGTACTTGTTGTCGAAAATCGTACACTTGTCACGGTAGAGCTTTTGGTGGACAATGCAAGTGTTAACAAGGTCTACCAAATAGGTAAATGTTCCCCTTGAATGTTTAGCTTTAAATTCAGGAAATTTAATTTAATTAACATACAATCTTGTGACTTTAGCTCCAGGAGAAGATTGTCCGGTTCCTATCGAAGCTGCATACCACAAAAAATTCAAGATCAGACCTGAAGGTAATGTCCGTGTAATTTTGCATTTTTTTAGAGTTTCGTGTATTTCTAATTGGGAACTAACTTTGAGATGTTTATCAACCTTAATAGGAGGTTTCGGATATAACTGGAGCACTGAATATTTGTACTGGAAAGACTTCTTGAAATCAGCTCCCATCACCTCTGTTTCATGTGAAAATATTCAAGAAGAAATACCGTTCAGGTTCCAAGTGTGTGCCCGATATTCCAGGAAAAATTCCCTGGTGAAGTAAGTGGCTGTTTTCGAACACTTTGAATAGTATTTGCGTAGCTCGTTACCAAACAACTTGTGTATTACTTGTAGGGAATATCCTTATATGTCTATCCGTATAAGTGCTCCGATTCAAATAGAAAACTTATTGCCTTACGATATTAACTTCAGTATACAAGATCGAACTAGTAATCAGGAATGGTCCAAGAATCTCTTGCGCAAGGGGCAAGTGACTTCGTTTCACTATACAGAATTGGGGCATCTATTATTGCTTAAAATTGATATTTTAGAAACAGGTAATAATTCAATTACATTCCATTTTGCTATTAACTTTGCTAATTCATGATTTTGAACCCAAAGGTTACAACACCAGTGAATTTTCCATAATCAGCACACCAGATAGGTATGAATACCAAATAGAAAATACTTTAACCTTAACCGATGATGCAGACTTGAAATTAAACCTTTGCTTACATTACTTGTACGTATCATCCTATGTGCTTTTGTTCATTTTACTTTTGCTTCTTTGATTCACGGACTTTCTATTCTCAGTGATATTCCGGATTCCGGAGGGGCGTTCAAAGTTAGCGTATACAGTCCCTACATCATGATGAACAAGACAGGCTTAGATATGACTTTTAAGACGAAATCGTTCTTACAACCTGCAAAAATTGCGGCTGGTCAAGGTTAGCGTAAATAATTGGACTGTTTGTGGAGCAGATAGTAACTTTCCGTTTTTCAACCATTAATTTCATTATTCCAATTGTGATTTGTAGGGCAGTCAAAGAAAAAAAGTCACGTAGGTGGTCTTCTAAGCATTTCATCTTGAAGTAAATTAAGTATCACATCGAATTTTCAATAATAGGTTGAGCCATATATGTTTTCTTATGCAAATGATGAGAGAAATCGAGTTCTTTTGAAAGTAGGAGATTCAGATTGGAGCAAGGTTTGAATTGTTTAATTAGATCTTACCTTGCCTTAAACGTGAAAATAATAATTGCTTTTTTTTTCTTTAGTCTTTGAGAGCT